CCCAAGAAAGTACATACAGGTGAAATTAGTTTTAATAATATATTTTATTTAACCCAAGATATCCAAAATGCTGTTTCAACACACATTGAATATTAAGATTATTAAAGAGGTATTTTATGTTCTTTTCATGTACTGTTTTCAAAATCCCATGTGTATTTTATCTTTAACAGCTTATTTCTATTTTAACTAGCTGTATTTCAGGTTCTCAGTCATCACTGCTTTGGACAGCACAGTTATGAACTATTTGCAGTTTATCTCACGCCTTCTACTTTTGCACATGTTTCCTCTTACTGAAATAGAGTCCTCCTTCATCAGCTGTCTTCTTTTGCTAACCTTAGCTGTCATCTTGGCCCCACAGCACACAAATACACAACCCAAATCATACTTGTACTTGACCTCTACTAATACCAAATGACTCAGTTTTAGACATTTTCTCCTCTGGCAGTCTTTCCAAACTCCCTTTGGTCCTCTAATCGTAGTTTTGAGTTTCCTTAGCTTCCGATACTTCCCTTTATCATTAGTATTTAATACTATTTATCTTTCTTTTCAGGCTGGAAGTTTCTTAATAGTAGGGATCAGTTGTCTCATTTTTGTGTCTCTAGCTTTATCCATAGTTCAGTGCCTGATGGTAGGTATTCAGTAAATGCCGAATGAATGAATATTCTGTGATGTTTTCATTTGACTGACTGAAGTTTGGGAATACATACTGTAGTTAAAATGCTTTAGTTTCACCCATGTTTCAATGTGCTGTTTAAAAGAAGTTGATTATACCTTAAATCTTAAGTCTAGCCTTTACTGTCATCTGACCTAAAGTCTAGAAAACTATACTTAAAATCTAAACATAGTTTGATTTTTAAGCAAAAGTCAGTGCTGTGTAAATATATGTAGGATATAAAGAACCACTTAGCAACGTCCTAGAATGTCGAGAAGTAGAGGAATGGAAACACTACTTGTTTCTAATCCTTTCTCCCTTATAGGAGAGAAAGAGTTATAGCTTTCATGCCGCAGTATTGTTTTTACCTTAATCTCTTCAGTTATTTGTGTTTTTGGTGGGAGAGAGGGTAAGTATTGTTCGTATCTTTCTCTCCTGGTTTATTTTTATTTCACTCATCTAGTTGGCTGTTGTGTGAGCTCTTGTTGGCAGCAGCGGTAGCCAGGTAGCAATGTTTTATGCGAAGAAGCTGAACACAGGGAAATGACAGGAGATGAACAGTTCTTTGGTTTTACGTAGTTTTTTTTTTTTCTTTTTCTTAAAATGAATTTTTTTTAAAGTCACACGGATCAAATGCTTATTATAATATTCAGTATACAGTGGACTCGACAGCTTTGGTTTACTTTCTGATTCATTTGAAACTGGATTTGTGTATCCTTTATAGGAGGCAATTCTGTTACTGCAGAAGCTTGTGGTAATCTCTCTTCTGACCTGTGATGTTGTTCCACTTGGGACTTTTTTTAAAGACCAGTTGGAAAATGATAAGTGGTAGATTTGATGGCTTTCTAGCATTTGATGGCATTTCTACCACAGTAGCACTCCTGGCCACTTTTGGAAGATAAACAATTTAGAAATTGAAATTGGACAAGATTTATAGTTTTTGTTTTTATCTGGTTAGCCTTGTGCAATTAAGAGAAACAGATGAACAACTGTTAACTGATTCATTCTATGTCACAAAAAAATTAGTTTAAATTAGCTGGAGAGCTCCACGTGAAGTATAAGTCTTCAGTGTTCTCTGTTGATAATTTTTTAAGAAAAAAATTTTGTTCACTTAATGTGGCTAGTTTATATTAGTGTAAGAGAAATTATTGTAACTGCAAGTGAAATTTATTTTGTCTGAAGCCCTCCAGGTTATTTCCGTCGTTTCAAATTAACCCAGTAAGAATATTCCAACTTTATGATAGGAATGGCTCAGAGCAAAACTTTTGACTTGTTCATTTTCTCCCTTCTTAGGCATTTTAGAGATTTATGTAAGTCTTATGCAATTAGTTGAACGTGGGACGATTTAATTATTTCCTTTAAAATAGAAAGGTACATTTTATTGAATGAAACTACTAATATTGTATTCAAAATAGCATTATAGATTAATCATTCATTTCACAAAAAGATTAATACATGGTATTGTGATTATTCTGGTGAACTAGACAGATAAGGTTTCTGTTCCCATGGGTCTTATATTTAACAGGAAGAGACAAATGTGAGATTATTCCCAATAGTAATGAAGTCTGTGAAGAAAATCAGAGTAATCTCACCCTTGTGAAGTTCTAAGGGAAGGTCCTGGGTAAAAGGTGCAGCAGATCGCTGAGTTGGTGACAGATTTGGCCTGTTAGAGGCACAAAAGAATCCCACTGTAGCTGCAGAAGATGAGGGGAAGAGATAAGGCATGAGGTAAGGATGGAGAAGTAGGCAGGAGGGCCAGATCTTACAGGAGTTTGTGGGTCTGGTTAAGGAATCTGATGACTTGGAAGCCACTGAAAGGTATTAAGCAGAAGATCTGCTTGATGCTGTCTGATCTCTGTGTCACGTAGCTTTCTGTAACTGGGGCAGCAAGAATGAAAGCAGGATATCAGTTAGGAGGCTATTGCAGAGAGAAGATGGTGGTTTGGAAGAGGGCAGTAGCGGTGGGGATGATAAGGAATCATCCAATTTGGAATATATTTTGGAGATAAACCAGCCTGGTTTTACAGATGGTTTGGTTGTGGGATGTAAGGTTTAGAAGAAATCCAGGATGATCCTTCGATTTGTGACATGGATAATTTAGTAGATGGAAATGCCATTTACTGAGATCAGAAAAATAGGAAAGAGTTGGTGGGAGTAGAAAGCGAACAGATCATGATTTTGTATTGGCATGTTTAGATACCTAGCTGGAGTTGTCAAACAGGAAAGTGAATATATGAATCTGGAAGGCAGGGTAAGTGACGTCTAGATGAGATCACCTAAGAAGAGAGTGTAGATAAAAGAGGGCCTAATACATGGTGCCTTGTGTATTCCAGCCTGTAGAGATCACAATGAAGAGACAGATTCAACAGAGAAGACGAAGAGATAGCCAGTGAGGTAGTAAGAAAGCCAGGAAAGCAGGAGACTGTGGAAGTTATAAAGAGAGTGTTGTAGGAAGGAGGGAATGGTTAGTCTTTTCAAATGCTCTCTGAGGTCAAGAACAAATAGGACAGAAAATTGATTTTTGGATTTTGCCAGGATGAACGTCATTGTTTTGATAAAAGCTATTTCAGGGGAATGGTCAAGATGAAAACCTGACTAGTGCGAATTTAGAAAAACGTTGGGAAGGAAGTAAAGGTGTAACGTTCTAGATTATCATATAGTATAATATTCTGGTATGGATTGGGCTTCCCTGGTGGCTCAGTTGGTGAAGAATCCACCTGCAATGCGGGAGACCTGGGTTCGATCCCTGGGTTGGGAAGACTATTCTGGTATAGATAGAATAGTCTTCTTTTACCGGAGGATTGGAGTGGAGAAATTGGATTGTAAATGCAATAGGGACCTGGAGCCAAGCAACAGCTTTAGTAGAGCCTCTTTGTTAGTAGGAATGACCCAGTAAAGAGGGCTGAATTGCAGGTGTACAGTCCTTGAGTGGAGAGGAGGAGTGGGAAAGAAGGCAGGTGCGAAGTTTAGCTTTTAAAAGGAGCAGCAATGCTTCTTCAGTTTTAGCAGGGGAGCGCCATAAAGTGATGTAGTTGCAGATGGAGGCACCTTTAAAGATAAGGTATTTCTCACCTGATTGTTGCTATTGAAATATTGAATAGGTCCCTCAACTAAGAATCAGAAAACTGGTAGTCCATTTTAGATTTTACTAACTTAACTCTGTGACCTTAGATAAATTGCTGTCTTGGGTAAATCACTTTGATTTTCTGGGTCTTAGTTTCCTTAAAAATGCAAAGAAAGGACCGATTTCTTAGGGTTCCTTCCAGTGCTAGATTGTTACATAATCTTGTTTAACTAGTAGTAATTCATGGGTTTTTATTTTCTTGTACTTTGTAACAAACTTATTAGTTATTCTAATAGTTGCATTATCTTGTCTGTATCCATTTCTTGCCTTTCATCTTTTTGGTCTAATACTTTGTGTATGTTCTTTAACTTGTTTTGTTTTCCTGTTTGCTTGTTTGAACTGTTTTTTCTGGCAGCAGTGTCAGCCAGGCAACTGTTTTTATAAAAGAAAATTTTCACAAGTGTCTAAACTTCCATTCTCTAGGAATGTTTAGATCTTTGGGTTGCTATACATTCTAAGGAATGCTTGTTTGTTGTCATGAAGAATTGTAACATAATATGGTATACATATTTTAAAAATAGCCTACCTTTTTCCAGCATAGATGTTAAGTAATCAGAAGTTTGCAAAGGGAAGAAAATATTGTCTAGTGTTCCAGGGACTTTTTTTTTTTTTAATTGGAGTATAGTTAATTTACAATGCTGTGTTAGTTTCAGGTGGACAGTAAAGTGATTCAGTTATCCATGTACATATATCTCTTCTTTTTCAGGTTTTTTCCCATATTGCTTATTACAGAATATAGAGTTCCCTGTACTGTACACTAGGTCCTTGCTGATTATGTATTTTTTATATAGTAATGTGTATATGTTAAGCCCAAACTCCTAATTTGTCCCTCACCCTTCGGTAAAGGTAAGTTTGTTTTTGAAGTCTGAGAGTCTGTTTCTCTTTCATAAATAAGTTCATTTGTATCATTTTTCTTTTAGATTCCACTTATAAGTGACATCATATGATACTTGTCTTTGTCTGGCTTACTTCACTTAATATGATAAATCTCTAGGTCCATCCATGGCATCCACTGCAAATGGCATTACTTCACTCTTTTTATGGCTTAGTAATATTCCATTCTATATATATACCTTATCTTCTTTATCTATTGCTCTGTCAGTGGACTTTAGATTGCTTCCACATCTGGGCTATTGTAAATAGTGCTGCAGTGAACGTTGGGTTGCATGTATCTTTTCAAATTTTAGTTTTCTCTGGATATATGTGCTGTCCTGGGGCTGAATTTGTCACTTTAAAAAATGCTTTCATGTAGTTAACATGTAATATTTTTAGGGACTTTATAAAGGATACATAGTATAATTTACTCTGATTTTTTTTCTTAACTGGCCGTCATGGAAGAGCCAGACCCTACCTTAATGGAACTCATAGTATGTTTTGCTCATCTTAATTTCCTCATTGGCTTTAAACGGCATCTGTAGCCATTAGTAATTTTTGTTGACTGAATTCAATAGGTGTATGAATTGAATAGTAGTTCCATAAACTTTGGAAAAGTGATTGCTTATATCAAGTTCTGTTAGAAGTTTGAGCATTTTTATCAGGAATAGTTAGCCTAAAGATAACTCATCCTATGGCTGATTTATGTTGATGTGTGGCAGACACCAGCACAACATTGTTAAGCAATTATCCTCTAATTAAAAATAAATTTAAAAGAAAGAAATAGCCATTTACTTAAAAAAAGTTATATTTGCTGTTAAAGATGTAGATCTGACCATATGTATTTGTCTTTTCTTCTAGTTGGAGACAACATTAAAATCCTATTAAGGATAAAAGAGAATAAACCTTTAACATTGAAAGGATGATAGAGTACCCTCAGTAGATGAGAGATTATTAATACAACACATTTCTGAAACAGGAAAGGGAAATGATGCATGGAACAGATTAGAACAAAGAGAACTATGTCACAAAATTCTCAGGAGGGAAAGAAGTATTCTGATGTATCCTGCAGATTCTCAGAGAATCTTAGGATTTAAAAAGAAAGGAAAAATTTTAAATGGGAAGAAAGAATAATTGAAAAACTATGAATGAAATAGTTGTGTCTCCTTTACCACCCAAGCCGGTGCACATCAACCGTCAGTGTGATTCTCTCTGCCCTTCACCCCTTCCTCTACTTCCCATTAAAAAATAGATGTAATTTCTTCTGGAAATGAAAGCAAAGATGACACTTAAAAAGTAGAGTTGTCATGGTGGACATTTGTGTTTGGAGAGAATCCCTTCTCTTTGCTAACTCTCAGTGAGTCCCCCATATAGTGCTGATTCTTTGCTGCTCATCCTGCAGCAACATGTGCTTGTCAGGAGGCCATGCTCATGTGCAGTTTTGTTCATCCTTTTTCTTCTTTCCTATGGGTGACCAAAAGCTCAAAGAAATTAGCAGTATTTAAAAAGCCTAGGCTAAACAAAGTGAAAAACTGTAGCTAAGTGAAACAGATAATTTCTGCATCAGAAGAGATCTTAAACAAAATGTCTATTTAGAGTGTTCTCAGGGGAAGAAAACGTATTGCCTCATTAAAGCAAGAATAGAATAATTGTTTTAAAAAAATCAGAAGAAAGAGTTCTTAGAAAATAAGATTTTTGCACAAATTAAAAAATCCTGGATGGTTTTGAAGATAAAGTGAGTAAATGTCTTTGAAAATAGAACAAAAAGACAAAGTCTGTTATTTAACCAGTAGAAGTTTAAAAGAGTAAAGGGAGAGTCAATTATCAAAAATGTAACCTAAGCACAATAAGGAAGAGGGGAAGGAAAGGGCAACACAATGAAAAAAAAACCTCACACCTGTGTGTTCATTTTTGTGACATTTCAGTATAGCAAGAGGGAAATTCCTAAAGGCAACTAAGGAGTTTTGTTTTTTCTTTAAAGAGTACTTATAAAGAATGAGAATCAGGTGGACAAAACTAGAGTATAAACTCCGTAAGGCAGAGATTTTTCATTGTTTTTTTCATTACTGTTGCATAATGAGAGCACAAGAAACATATGTTGAATAAAAGAATGACTGTCACATCTCATAAGCAGCTCTGAGGTTTTAAAGACAGTGGAGCGGTGTCTCCAAAGTTCTGAGAAAGAATGACTTAGCATTTGGAACCTATGAAGACAATCAGGTATGAGGCAAAATAAAGACACTCTCAGGCATACAAAGACTCAGAGCTTTCACTTCAGGTGACCCTTCCTGAAGAAGTTACGTGAGAATATGGAGCAGTGAACACAATCAATGAAAACTAATAAAAATGACATGGACTCCTAGAAAAGGTAGATTAACATAGAAGTACAATAAAAATAACTCCAGAATGACAGTGGTACAGCAAGTAGAAAGTAATTGGTTTAAGTTAGAATAGGAAATCACTGGTCTCCAAGAAAAAATGTCCTTAAGAGGAAGAATAACAGATTTCAGGCTACAGATAGAATGACTAAGAAACTGATAGATATCAGTGGTAAGAAGAATGTTTTTTTCCTCTCTAGAAAAAAAGGACAGAAATTCTAAAGAAAAAACTCTGCATAACCAACGTGTAGTTGCATGTTGCGTGCTAAGTCGCTTCAGTCGTGCCCGGCCCTTTGTGACTCTATGGACTGCAGCCTACCAGGCTCCTCTGTCCATGGATTCTCCAGGCAAGAAGACTGGAGTGGGTTGCCCTGCCCTCCTCCAGGGGATCTTCCTGACCCAGGGATGGAACCCAGGTCTGCAATGCAGGAAACAGATTCAATCCCTGGGTTGGGAAGATCCCCTGGAGAAGGGAATGGACAGAGGAGCCTGGCGGGCTGCAGTCCATAGGGTCACAAAGAGTCGGACACGACTGGAGCGACTTAGCATGCGTGTATACACACACTGAAACTAACACAATATTTTGAATCAACTATACTTTAGTAATAAAAAGGAATAGTATAAGCAAAAAAGTATAGGCCATTAAAATAGTTGTCCCAGGCAACAAGACTTGGATAATGGGGCAATGTATATTTCCTTGTTTTTTTTTTAAAGATGCATATATTGGGGGCGGGGGGTGGGTAGGGAGAGAGCTAGTGTTGGTACATATGAGATGAATGACAGGTAATGTTTTTGTGGATTCTTACCTTTTGCAAGAAAAGTTAGGTGGATTCCTGACTTAGAGGGGATAGGTCATAGGGAACTACTTCTGCTATATGCATATAAACAGAAATAATCCTCATCTGTATCATATAGTCAACTTTTAATTATGCTGTTAAAACCGAAAGTCTTTGACAGGGAATGTTAATCAGAATTTACCGAGTATCTTGTGTGTTTGTATTATAATTACTAATATTTACCAAGTGCTTACTGTGTGATAGTCAAGTATTCCATTTAGTTGTCACAGCAGTTGTCTAAGGAAGATACCATTATTATTTCCATTTTACAGAGGAGAAAATTGAGATATAGATGTAGATTGAAATTTGCACAGCTGATAAGTGATGGATCCATTTAATTGCCTTAATTTATTATCCTTTTTTCTTGGACAATTTTTTACGTGTGTAAATATTTTCTTTCATGATTTGCAAAGTGAAAGCTTCAAACTGATTTATATATTTCTAATATTAGTCCTTGCCTACTTGCTGATTTCAGCCCCAAAAGCTAATTGTAACAGTGAGTGAGATTGCCGGGCAATAAAATCTAAGTTCTAAGTTAGTTTGCTTGATTTTTTAAAAATCTTTTTTTTACTAAGGGAAATTTCAAACAAATACAAAAGCAGTGATATTAGAGTAATGAAGCTGCATGTCTCCACAGTTTTTACATTATTTTACTAACTCATGGCCCGTCTTATTTAACATATACTTTTACCTCCTTCTCCGTGGATTATTTTGAAGTAAACTCCAGACATTATATAATTTTATCTATAAATATCTCAACATCTACCTCAAAATATAAGGACTCTTTAAAAAAAAGTAACCATAATACCATGATCTTACCTAAAACAATAGCAGTTCCTTAATGTCATTAAATATCTAGTCAGTGTTTTAATTTTCTCAGTTTTATAATTTTATAATTTTCTTTTACTAAATTTGTTTGAATTAGGATTGAAACAAGGCTCATAGATGGCAGTTGTTTGTGTTCCTGAGGCTTTTAAAATATAAAGTAAGCTCTCCCCATCTCTCCTTTTTCTGCTTGCAGTTTATGTTAAAGAAGCCAGTTGGTCCTACAGAATGGGCCACAGAGTAGATTTTGCTAATTGCTTCCTTGTCCCTCTGTCCCCTGTATTTTCTATAAACTGTCATTTCAGTTTAAAAGTTTGATCAAACTCAGATTTTATTTTTCTTGCAGAAGGAATCTATTACCTCAGTGGATTGTTGCGTCTCCTCTGGAGGCACACCGTGTCTGATTACTTTCTGTGGTGTTAGCAGCCGTTAGTGAGCATGATCTAGTTTCATTATTTCGTTAGTAACTACAAAATGACAATGTTCTAATTCTGTCATTCGAATATTCCCCTTTTTAATTTATTAGCTAGAATAATTCTGTAAAGAAGTACTTCCTCTTATCTACTATTTTGTTCTAAGATATATCTTGTAACGGTGTAGACAGGATACATATTGGATTTTTTTCCTCTTCATCTATCAATTTTCAGATAGTATCTTTGAGGTAACTCATTAGTTTTTTTAAAATAACATATGACCTCGTGAATTTAAACACATTCTATGTGTTTTAATCCTTTGCTGATACAGTTCTCATTGAAGATGCAATTGTCCCATCGTTGACTGGTCAGAGCTTCCTGGAACACTGTCCTGAACCCTTCTGACACTCCATCACGAGTGTTTCATACCTTTCTTGCTCTCTAGTATGACCATATTTCTAGGTTGTAGAATAATACCAGCAATGCAATTATTGAAAATTGTTTTTAGAAAAATTTTGGACCTCTTTTGTCAGTAGGATCATCTCTCTAGGGATTGTGTTCTTTAAAGTTGTTAGTACTGGTTAATCTGTGCGACTTTGCCACCAACTGTATATATGAAAGTGAAAGTGTTAGTTGCTCATTGAAAGTTGCTTTGTTGGGTCTGACTTTTTGAGACCCCATGGACTGTAGCCCTCCCGGCTCCTCTGTCCATGTGATTCTCTAGTCAAGAATCCTGGAGTGGGTTGCCATTTCCTTCTCCAGGGCATCTTACCCACCTAGGGATTGAACCCGGGTCTCCTGTATTGCAGTTGGATTCTTTACTGTCTGAGCCACCTACAGTTAGATTTTCTTTTGATTCATAGGACATGCTTTTTAAAAACCTTATTTCCAAAAAGTATGATTTCCAGCGTTGAATCTATAGAAGTTAACATAAAGAAGTCTAACTTCTATCCCTGTCCCTCAGCTCGGCTTCCTCCCTTTCTCTGCAGCTGTATCGTCCAGTTAGCTAACCACCAGTGCATTTTGCTTTTAGCAGTTAATTAAAATTCAACATAATTAAAAATTAGTTCCTTGTTCACACTTACCATATTTCAGTGTTCAGTAGCTGCATGCGGCTAGCTATCATCCCAAACTGATTTTAAACCATTTCTGTATTTTAAAATTGAAGTGTGGTTGATTTACAGTGCTGTGCTAATTACCGCTGTACGGCAAAGTGACTCCGTTAGACATATACATACCTTGTTTGTTTGTTTTTAAATAAATACCTTCTTTTCCATTATGGTTTGTCATGGGATACTGACTGTAGTTCTTTGTGCCTTGCAGTATCCATTCTATATATGAAAGCTTACATCTGCTAACCCCAACCTCCCCCTCCATCCTTCTCCCGTCTCTTTCCCCCTTGGCAACCACCAGTCTCTTCTCTAAGAACATTTCCCTTCTAGCCGACAGTTCCATTGGACACCCCTGCCCTGAAGAACCCATTATGTTTTCATGAGGGGTATAGTTTGTTCCTCTCCTTTTTAAAAATATGGAAGTTACATAGATGAATTTATAACCCTCCTTCAATAAGTGGTAGCATTACTATGCATGCCTTTCTCCCTCCCCCTTTTCTTCGTGTATCTTGGCGATCACTGCAGACTGCAGAGAGTGTGCAGAGGTAGTCCTCATTTCCTTAAGAGCTTGGTAGCACAGTACTTTGCTGTGTGGAGGTGTACAGTGTAGGTAGCCAGTTCCCTGTTGATGGTCATTTTGATTGATTTAGGCCTTTACCACTGCACAGTGCTGCAGTCAGCAGCAGTAATGCTGCCTCGTGTATGTCTTTTTCATTTATTACTAGACCCAGGATTCTTTTAACACGCATTTCCTCAGTGGACTTTGTTTCTTCTAAACATTAAGAACAGTTGTTCTGATTATAAAAGTAATCCGGTTTCATTTTACTAGAAAATTAAACTCTGTTAAGGAGACAGATAAACTTATCTAAAATTCGTGTTGCCCAGACAGAAATTATTTTTGTGTACGTGTATACCTTGGTTTTTGCAGGGTTTTTTTTTTCCCCCAGTTCCTGAGTTCAGTTAAAAAGAGGACTCAGCATTTTTCAATGACTGTGTAGTTGAGATCATATTGTATACAACACTTTGAATTTTTCCTGTACCATAATAGTATAAGCATCTTCCTTGTTAACAAACTTTTTGTAAACATTTCTGACATCTGCATAATACTATGCTGTATTAATTTTTTCAATACTTTTCTTAATTTCTTGTTTTGCAATGGTTAGACATTTACTTTTTTTCTTTTTAATTGTGCCACATTCAACATTTGTGCATAACTTGCCCCCTGTTTTTAGGGTAATTTTCTTGGTATCCAGGAATAGAATTATTGAATCAAAGGTTAAAAGCATAATTAAAGTTTTAACCTATTTTGCCAGCTTTTTTCCCCCAGTCTTGTTTTGATAGCCATTTTGGAAGCACTGAGTGTTATTTTGAGGAATCTTTGGTAATTTGATAGATTTTAAAATGATGTGTGAAGTTAAATATTTTTTTGTGCCTATTTTTGTATTGCCTGCTGTGGGTCTTAACATGTATTTGCCCATTTATCTTTTGACTTCCTATCTTTCTTGTGGCATGATATGAGGTATTGATTGATTGTTAAGGATGGTCATGATTTTTCTGTCATGTTGCAATATTTTTCTTCACATGCTTTAATTTGATTAATTTTTTGCATGGTCCAGTTTTACATTTTTATGCAGTCAGTCTTAGATATTTTTCTTATTTTTGTTAGCAGGCTTGTTCTTTACTACCTTTCCCCCCATCCCCACCACCAAAACCAAAAACTGGTGACTTTATTATTCACCTAGCTTTTGTGTTTGTTATAAATCTTAAGATTCAAGGGAGTCAAATTCAGTTAACATTTATTCAGAAGCAGGTGTATGTCAGGTACTTTACACATTCTCTATCTAGTCTATGACAGTCTGTCGTTTCTCCAAATAAGGTATGAAAATATAGATGAATTAAATTATGGCCTCTTTTTAAAGTTCTAAGCAATATGTTGTTTTGCTTTTGGTATCTTTCATTGTAATTAACTCTTGAAATCTATTTCATGAAATATGATGAGTTTCCCTCCCTCTTCCTTAATTGTAGAGGAAAAAAGTGTATCTTCTGGTTGCTATTGTGAATTGTGGACTAAAGGTACATAGAGAAAACGGATTGCACAGACTTGAATATTATCCCCAGGATCTGAAGACTCAAAATTGCTCTTCAGGCTTATTTTGGATTTTTCTGAGAAGACTCTGTGAAATTATGTGAATAGAGACTATTTTTCAAAGCCATGGGGGAAAGAGAAAGAAGTCCAGTTACTGATCGAGAAAGTAAGACAAGCAGACCCTATTACTCTTACTGTTCATCTGAATTTGGAACTACTCCACAGTCTTCTGGCCGGTCGTCGCTGGTGCATCCCTCCCCACCTGCAAGTGTTAAGGAAAAACATCCTAAGAAACAAATTTCAGATAGCCAAGTGCATCATCACGGTAAGCATCCTTTAAAAGACTCCAGTAGACCTGGAATATTCATTCTGAGTGCTTAAGGAAACCTGTGTGAATGAGAATGGGATATATTTTTATAAATGTTGCTCACAGTGTACTATCCTTTGTTACATTCACAGCTATACTGTATCCAGAAGAAAGAACTCTAACTGAGGTTTCTCATTTTTGTTTTTGCTTGTTCCTGAATAAATGATTGTCTTGGGGTTTGTAAAGGCAAAAAAAAAAAAAAAAAATCACAAAGCATTTGTACCTTTATTTTCAGAAAGTTGTGAAAGGCATGGATATAAAGTGGTTAAGGGACATTTTTATAGATTGGGTAAAATTACTTCTACTTACTGAAAAAGTTCAAATTCAGCTTCGAAATGGAATTTGGGACCACCAGTCTGTTTTCTATTAAATGGTGTTATAATGGAACAGCATAAATCTTTAGAAATAATTTTTCTTGTTAGAATGTTATTAGTCTGGAGCTAGGTATTAATACATATTTGACTGCATAATGTTCTGGAAATCTCTTCTTCATCTTAATAAATCCCTAGTCAAGAAAATCTGTATGTATTTAGTAACAAAATATGTAAGGACCGCTAGTACACCATAGGTAAGCTAAAGTAAATGAGGTTTTATTTGTTGTTATTCAGTCGCTGAGTCGTGTCCGACTCTTTGCAACCTCATAGACTACAGCATGCCAGGCTTCTCTGTCCTTCACGATCTCCCAGTGTTCGCTTAGATTCATGTCCATTGTGTTGGTGATGCTATCTAATCATCTCATCCTCTGCCACCCACTTCTCCTTTTGCCTTCAGTCTTTCCCAGCATCAGTAAAATGAGACTTTATAGTATCGGTTAATAGATACAATACAGCCATCACATTAGTAGCTTAGAGTGGTAAGATTGCAAGGCAGGAAGTAGTATGTGAGCCGAAAAGGAAATCAGGGTGAGGTCATGAAATGCCTAGAATCCTGTGTTAAGATATTGACTGTTTGGGGGTGGGGGGGGGGGGGGGGAGATAGTTAGCTATTGAAAAGTTTGAAGCAGGGGTTTTATTAAATTTGCCTTTATAAATTTTTACTTTGAAAAGTAACATTTACCTTTTTAAAATCTGCAAAGAATGTGTGTTTCTTTTGAAAGCAACCGTTTTGTGAATCCTTGATCAGGCTTCCCAGAGATGTTGACACTTTTAACAACAACTTTTAAAAACTTTAAAAGTTTTTTCCTTTTTTTTTTCTGTATGGTTTTTGCTGTTATATTTTTGTTTGTTTATTATTGCTACAAGTACAGTGCTGCAGGTTTCATAGTCTCTTCCTCCAAATCTGTCTCAGTGTCATTTTCTTGTTTTGATTTTGTGGTTGAGAGCATGATCTGATATTAAACTTTTGCTGTATAATTAGGAATAAACAGACCTTAGGGTTGAACCTTAGAAAATGACTGTTTATTCCCAAGAAATCATTCACATACCTTTGGAATTATTGGTAGGAATACTTTAATTTTTCACTCCTTACCTAGAAGCAGTTTTACTTAAGAAGATATCTGAGAAAAAGCTGTGAGAAACCATTTATCACCCAGAAAAATTTCAACCTGACTTGTACTGTTTTCTGCTTTGTATTGTCCTTTGAATTAAAGTCTGTGGTAATATGTCTACTTCAGTGCAAGCCATCCGGGAAAACTGGTAATGTCCCTAAACACCGATTTCTTTCGGCTCAAGTTGGCAATTACCAGTGTCGACTGAACTAAGGGAAAGCCAAGTGTGATTTAAAAAGCATCTTGAACACTTGAATTTGCAAAATTTTACATTTAGCAACATATTCTTCCTTCTTCCTTTTACATTTTCAGCTTATTTTATTATTTTAGAAATAAAATTTGTGCTCTATCAGAAGTTATATGTATATACAATTTAATAATAATTTCAGTTATACATGTTTATATATTACATATTATGTACATATTCTGTTTCTCATTTTATCGGTAATATAAACATACTACGTTTTTGGTAGATGCATAGTTTATCTTTGTTACATGTTTTTTTAATGAGTCATACTGTAATTTTAACACCTGATGGAAGGAAAACAGTATTTGTCCACCCTCTTTTTGGTGGTAACAAGGGGGAGCTGAAGAATGATTTCAACAGTCAGTCATCTTTCTTCTGAGTGTTACTAGCCCTGTATTTAATCTTGATCGTTTTGAAAATGAAAGAGATAAATGAAAGGTGAGAGATATTTTTTGAGATCTGGTTAATAGAATATAGTAGAAAACAATGTTCATATTTTGAGGATGTCAAATGTTGGTGGCAGAAGCCCTTTTTGTCTGGCTATATCATAGAACAAAATATTAGTGGAGAATTTGTAACCTGATTTGTATAATATCTAGACTTTCACTTCTCAAATTAAGTTTCCATGTGCATGAAATCTTATTTGCTGAGCAATATAATTTTATACATAAAAATCAGAGATTTGGGGTGATTAACATTTATTCTTATGTACAACCATTTTTATGTATAAAGTTTCTGTCATTCCAAGAGCTGAATACATAATCTGTAATAGCATATAGATACTAAAACTCTGTTCACTCAGTATGTTGGGAAAGAAAGAAAATTGAAATGATAGATGTTCCAATTTAAAATTGGAGCAGTTTCTCCAATGGAAGTATTACGCACATCACAAATGCAAGCCACACATACAATTTTTTATTGCCAAAAGAAAAACAGGTAGAAAGGTGGAATTAATTTTAATAATTTTTATTTAACTCAGAATATCCAAAATATTATCATTTCTAAATATAGTTAGTATAAAACATAGTGTGTGGAATATTCTGCATTCCTTTTTTTCTTTTTCCTTTGAGTTAGATGTTTGAAATCTGGTGTGTATTTCAGTTATGGACTCAGTTTGGATCACCCACATTTCAGTTTCCAGTAGCCACATGTGGCTAGTGACTACTGTATTGGATAGCATAGTTTCAAAGTTACTAATAGGCTTTCCTTCGTTTCTTTTTATTACTACTTCTTTTCAAATATTCATGCATGTATAGAGCTGGAATCCCAAATCAGTACACATTTACTATACCCTCTACAAAATTTCTGTCTCTTTAAATGAAACTTTATAATGTTACATTGTAAACATGTTTTCCTTGTTTACATAGTAAAATCAGGGTATCCATGGCTGGTGAAGTAGGTAAGGAAAGATTGGATTTTCTAGTTTTTCTTCATTTTTTTCCCCTCTGGAATGCATTTCCTTCTAGAAAAAATGCAGTCACCTTGGAGATTAAAGTTCACTGTTCTCAACTATGGCAAACTTCCAGATGCCTCTTTTAAAGGGCAGGTGCTCTGTATATTGAGGCCAAGGTTTAATGAACTTTGAGTAAATAATATTCAAAGTTTTTGTGAAATGTTGTGATATGTACATTTTAAAGATTTCATGTGCTTTTAATTTTTTAGGCTGGAGTCATTTATCTTGTTCTTAAATTATGCCAGATGTTTTTGATTTGAACATCACACAAAAGAAAGCCTCTGAGAAAGCATTTAGAATCACATCTGTACTGCTAAAGTGTTTTCCATTTTCAATCACTGATATGTGGGATTAAGTTCTTAATACTGACAGAGAATATTTGTGGAGAATTTTCTGTCTTATACGCATACTTCAGTTAATCCTCACAACAAAAGGGAAAATAAACCTGGAAAAGGTTTAAGTTGAATTGCCCAAGGATCTATTAAGTAGTAAATCTGAGCCCCAAATCTTCTTGCTGTCATGTTGTCGTCGTCTTTCCTGAAATAAAGATTTCTAATTAATTTAAAAAATCATACGTTTCCATATTTCAAATTATCCCAAATATCTTGGCACAGATGACTTGATTATCATGACATTTTGTATTTATTAGGCACTGTGCTAATGCTGATGGTGCCTATGTTTGAATACAGCTGACCATCTTATCTGCAAAGGTAAAAATGGTGGAGTCTGATGTTACCATCTTTTAAAACAGTGTAAAATAATTCCTTGTGAACCATGGCATATTGTTTTGCTGGATCAGAATATGTTTCTTGAACTGTCTTAAAAGATTTCAAACCTTTCTTAATAAAAACGACATGCTAAAAGCTCTAAGTAAAACCAAATATTTAAATATTGTAGAATCATTTTTTTAAAATGTTTCCTTAAAACAAAATGACTAAAGAATATTATGGATTCATTTGTGTTAGGATGAGTCGATAATTCTACATCTGATACAGCTTTCACTTTATGTTATTACTGTTTCTTTTTCAGCCCCTAGGAAACCAAGCCCTAAGGGTTCACCAAACAGAAAGAGAGTCAGAGCAGGATTTCGCTCCCAGAGCCTCAATAGGGAGCCCCTTCGGAAAGATCCTGATCTTGTTACAAAACGGGTTCTTTCTGCAAGACTGCTAAAAATCAATGAATTGCAGAATGAAGTAACTGAACTCCAGGTCAAGATAGCCGAGCTGCTAAAAGAAAATAAGGCTTTGAAAAGGCTTCAGTACAGGCAGGAGAAAGCCCTGAATAAGTTTGAAGACACAGAAAATGAAATCTCACAACTTATTGCTCGTCATAACAATGAGATTACAGCACTCAAAGACCGCTTAAGAAAATCTCAAGAGAAAGAACGGGCAACTGAAAAAAGGGTGAGAGAGACAGAAGGTGAACTGCTTAGGACAAAAGTTTCCTTACAGAAACTGAAAACGATCTCTGAAGCTAAACACCTACCTGAACGAGATGATTTAGCAAAGAAACTCTCTTCTGCAGAGTTAAAATTAGATGACACTGAGAGAAGAATTAAGGTAAAATTTCCACAGTTTCTAATTGTGCTGTTTTGTGTTATTTTTCATTGGGCATTTGATGTGCACTTTTAAGACTGCTTATTGCAGTTCAGCATTTGCTTGGAAATGAAATCTGATTTTTTTTTTTTTAGTATCTTTCTGAGTAAGAGATTAGGAAAAATTTAAGATTTTATCTTTAAGAGCAAGATGTGAAAGATTGTATACATTAATGGGCCACATGCTAATAGATGTTTAATTCCCAAAATCTAAGCTATTTGGGGGAAATACACTGATTATGTGATTGTTTCTTGAAAATTGAAAATGATACTATAAGACTATAGTATATAAAACTGACATTTGGGGCCATTGTGTAAGAAATGCCACATGAATAATTTCTGTTTTTATTTCTTTGAACATTTGTGAAAGATATATTTTGGGGCAGGGTGTGCTTCTACTCCCTCAATAAGACGTGATGTGAAAAGTGGGTGGAATGATGCTGAGTTAATAGTCTGAGAATACAGCAGATCTTACAAAAATATTTTTTTCTTGAAATTAAAGGAAAAGAGTACTACCCCATGACTGTTACATGGAGAACTTATATTAGATGCTACCTGATATATATATGTGTGTGTGTGTGTGTGTGTCTGTATGTAAAATCTGTTTGGAAAGCAAAGTTTGGGAAAAAGTATGAGAATGATATTTGCTGTCAGAGTTCTTTGAACACGGGAAAGTCAGAACTATAAACTAGCTTTTCTGCAATGTATTAATTAGGTGTTTTTAATACCTGGTATATAAATAGTACCTCAGTCTATATAATATACCAGACTTTATATACCAATGCCCTGCCTAAGAGAGTGGCTTATTAAAGAGTGTATATCAGTGGCCAGAAAAAGAGCTTAGCTTATTCTCCAAAATTAGCAATCATTAACTTTTGCTTCAGTATACAGAAAATATCTTATTGCATAGGTTCCACCAGTGATCAAGTCAAATTGCAGATCAACCACATGAAAACTTTTTTTGAAGGACCATTTACCTACCTAGGTAGTGGGGTGAGGGTAGGGGATGGAAGCAACTATTGTCATGAATAGCTGACATTTATTTTTAAAGGGAAGTACAAAATGTGCCCATATGGATTTTAAAATTAGGAACCAAGAGCACAGAAAGTTGATTATTAACTATGGTTAAAAACAACCCACACATCAGTGTGTATTTCTGTAAAACTAGACAGAACATAGAACTGTAGCGCACACACATGTATGCACACACCCTACACACGTATACTGCAGTTCTCTCTTATAGCCTGTTATGAAGGGGGTTGTTGGAATGGTAGAGGAGGAAAGACAGAGAAGAGAGGAAAACTTGAACAAATCTGTGGATTCTGTGTTGTAGATGGAGTTGAATTATGTGGCTACTCACTTGAGAGCATGAAAATCAGTCATCTGTGATAAGTCTGTGAAAGTGAAAGTATTAATCACTTAGTCACATCCGACTGTTTGTGACCCCATGGACTGTAGCCCTCCAAGGTCTTCCGTCCATGGGATTCTCCAGGCAAGAATACTGGAGTGGGTTGCCATTTCCTCCTCCAGGGGATCTTCCTGACCCAGGGATTGAACCCACATCTCCTGTGTCTCCTGCCTTGCAGGCAGATTCTTTACCTGCTGAGCCCTCAGGGAAACTTCAGGTCTTTGAAATACTTACTGTATAGTGTTCTCAATTTCTTAGGTTTTTCTTACTGGAGTAAGAAATTTAAAAAAAAATTTTGGTGTTAATTGTAGATGTACATGCAGTTAAAAAAAAATAGATCCCATATACCCTCCATCCATTTTCCCTAGTGGTAACATATAGCATAAGTAGAATATAATGTTATTGTTTGGTCACTTTTGCAACTCCATGAACTGTAGTACACCAGGCTCCTCTGTCCATGGGATTATCCTAGACGAGAATACTGGAATTGTTGTCATTTCCTTCTCCAAGGAATCTTCCTAACCCAGGAATTGAACCTGTGTCTCTTGCATTGCAGGTGGATATTCTTTACTGCTGAACCACCAGGGAAGCACATAGACAAATATAATATTATAATCAGGAAATTGGGAGTGATATATTGATACAGCTCATCCACCTTATTCAGATTTTACCGGTTTTACATGGACTCATTTGTGTTTGAGTGTGTATGTGTGTGTGTATTTAGTTCTGTGCAGTTTTATCACATGCAGATTCACGTGGCCATCACTATGGTCAAGGTGCAGAACAGTTCCATCACAGGCTCCCCTGTGTTACCAACTTTTATAGGCATAGTTACCTTCCTGCTTTCCCTAGCACTCTGACCTGTGGCATCCACTGATCTGTTGACCATTTCTTTAATTTTGTTATTTTAAGAGTGTAATATAAACGGAATCTTCTAGTATTTTAAGGTTGGCAGATTGCATTTTTTTCCCTTGAGCTCCATCAGAGTTGTTGCATGTATCAATAGTTTGTTCCTTTTTTATTCTCAAGTAGTATTCCATGACATGGATATACAAGAATGTTATGGTATATCCTGTTGAAGGACATTTGGGTTGTTTCCAGTTTTAGTTATTAACTAATGAAGCTACTGGCTTCTCTGGTGTCTCAGACTGTAAAGAATCTGCCTGCAATTCAGGAGACCTGGGTTGGAAGATCTCCTTGAGAAGGGAATGGCAACCCAATCCAGTATTCTTGCCTGGAGAAGTCCATGGACAGAGGAGCCTGTCCAGAGCAGGCTGCAGTCCTTGGGTCTATGGCCATTCATGAACAGGTTTTTGTGTGAACATTAGTTTTCATTTCTCTGGGTTATATGAATAAAAGTTCACTTGATGAATTGTTTGATAAGCACATTTGGTTTTGTAAGAAACTGCCGTTTTCTTTTGTAAAGCGGTACACCAGGTTACATTTTACCAGCAGTGTATCAGTGATTCACTTCCTCCACATCCTTGGCAGCGTTTCGTGTTACCACTGTTTAAAATTCTAGCCATTCCTGAGGAAGCAATGCTTCTGTGTCAGGTCAACATGGCGGGCCGGCCAGCTGTTTCAGCATCAAGCAGGTGGCTGGAGGGTATTCGAAAATGGTATTACAACGCTGCCGGGTTCAATAAACTGGGCTTAATGCGAGATGACACAGTACATGAGAATGACGATGTAAAAGAAGCCATAAGAAGGCTTCCTGAGAAACTTTATAACGACAGAGTGTTTCGCATTAAGAGAGCACTGGACCTCAGCATGAGGCAGCAGATCCTGCCTAAAGAGCAGTGGACAAAATATGAGGAGGATAAATTCTACCTTGAACCATATCTGAAAGAGGTTATTCGGGAAAGAAAAGAGAGAGAAAAATGGGCAAAGAAGTAATTTAGTAGTCTAAATCTGTGGGTACAGCTGTTCTCAAGTATTTTTATGAAGCTGGTTAAACCTGAAATGTACAATGTAGAACTATCTGGGCTGTAAATGTATTACTTTAAATAAATATCATAATTATTGTTGGAAAAAAAAATAAAATTCTAGCCATTCCTACAGCTATGTAGCAGTATCTCTTAGTTTTAACTTAATATTATTCCTAATGGCTTATGAGTTGAATATCTTTTTAAATGCTTATTTGCCATTAGTAGATCCTGTTCATTTGTTTGCTTTTTGCCTATATTTCTAATTGTTTGTGCTTTTATTGTTGATTTTTTGATAGTTCTTTATATGTAATAGATACAGGTTCTTCATCCGATACATGGTTTGCAAATATTTTCTCACTGTGTAGCTTGTTTTTTCATCCTCTTACAGAGAGTTTTAAAATTTTGATGTGGTCCAGTTTGTCAGATTTTTCTTTCATGGATTGTGCTTTTTGGTGTCAGGTCTAAGAATTCTTTGCCTATCCCTGTCACCCTTTGCCTGTAGCTCTAAAGATTTTCTACTATATTTTATCCAAAAGCTTTACAGTTTTATGTTTTACTTTAAAGTTCATGATTCACATTGAGTTGATTTTTATATAAGTTGTGAGGTTTAGGTTGAGATTCATTTCTATTTTGTTTTCCCTGCCTATGTAGTACCCAGTTGTTCTAGTACTATTTGTTGAAAAGGCTATTCTTCCTTCCTTGAATTTGGCACCTTTGTCCAAAATCAGTTGGGCATATTTTTGTGGGTCTATTCTGGATTCTTTAGTCTCTTCTTCTGATGTATATGTCTTTTCCTCTGCTGACACCACATTCTTTTCATTATAGACTACGCTATAAACCTTATATATATGATTATGGTAGAGTGATTCCACTCATGCTTTGTTTTTAAAATTTTAGCTAATTTAACTACTCTCAGTAGTTGTTTTGTTTCATGCCTCATTGAGTTTTTCACATTTTACGTAATCTTTTTTCTTCCCAGCTCAGTACCACTGACTGTAAGGGTAAGGGAGGAGTCTAAGAACTATTGTGGTGTTTCATTTTGCAAATAAACTAAAATCAGAGAAAGTCCTGAGTGTCCCTTGAATTTGCAGTAAAATCCTTGTAGTGCTGACTTTAAGTTTTGTGCTATTCTTTGCTAAGGATGACTGGTGTTTTTTGTTTTTGCTTGGTATAGCCTAGTAGCTCAGATGGTAAAGCATCTACCTGCAATGCAGGAAATCTGGGTTCAATCCCTGGGTCGGGAAGATCCTCTGGAAGGAAATTGGAACCCACTCCAGTATTCTTGCCTGGAGAGTTCCATGGACCAAGGACCCTGGCAGGCTACACAGTCCATGGAGTCTCAAAGAATCAGAAATGACTGAGCTACTAACACATAGCATTTGAAGAGTCCTTACGCTGGAATTTGTGACAGGCAGGTTTGTTTGTTTGTTTGTAGATTGCCTCATCCTGGAAGGGATATTAAGCCACAATTCTTATTCCCCTTGTGTTATATTTTCTTTTTATGGGAGGAAAAAGAAAGCATTCTTCAAGGTTATCTCTGAATAGTTGAGCTAAACTATTGAGAAAAACTTATCTCTGCACCCTCTATAGGTTGATTACAGGTTTATTTTGTTAGTTGATGAAAATGAC